ATGCGCGTGGAGAAGCACAAGTACCTGGTGTGCCTACAACCACGTTCAGGCCTTCCAATAATTATCTGGAGTGGTATCACAATCACACCGTTCTGTACATTACGCCGCCTATCCAGCAGCAGGCACAAGTTGGACAAATGTTGCATGGAGTTTCGGGCCAGTTGGAGTATTTGGTAAATTACTACTATCTCCCAAATTTAATTTATTTACTTTTGGACAATGGATGATCATGTTTTCTCCTATTTTGTATATGTCAGATGAATACTATGCAGCGCATTGGTCGGCAATCACATGGTGCACTTGAACTTGATGACCCTGGGAGTCGATTTCATCCACGTCTTGCAACAATTGTTGATGGAGCATATGGATCAATGCAATATCTCCAGCGCTTTGATCGCATGGTTGTTGGTGATTATGATTCTTTCGATCATAATCCTCATGTGACACCAGAAATTCCTATCCAACCTCGCGTGCGACGTGTCCCTACACAAGGTGGACCATCATCTAGTAGAAGTCGACGCCATAGGCATGGGTTGCAGGACGAAGTCATTGAGGAGACGGGCATTCAAATGACCGAGGGGGGCACTCAATCGCATTACAACCCGACTAGTAATCAATTCACCACATCTGTGTCTTTGCCGATGACAGACATCCACGGTGTGTCACATGGACAGAATATATCGCCCTTTACCCCTCAGGTGACATCGTTCCCGCACTCACAGCATATTGCTCTAGATGCCACGCCTTTGCCACAGTTTCCACCCTTTGGTGTATATTCCAGGCCCTCTCCATATTTGCCTGTATTTGGGGGACATTTTCCATCCTCGTCAAACGAGCCTCCATTTGGATACGTTGCCACTGCAGCGGACTCATCTTCTACTGCTAACCTACATCCAATATTCAATTTTCTGAACAAAACGGGTGGTGTCCCTTCCATTTCAGACCTCCCCGATTATTACAGTCTTGGACAGATTACGACCGTATCTGCGTCGATCCAGCCGATATCTACTACTACATACGGTCAGACGGGGGATTTTGCCACGTATCGTTCTCAACACGATGGTGATAGTAGTACGACAGTTGAGTCGGATGAGGAGGATGACGTAGGACCCTATGCTCTTCGTGATCGTTGCAGACGAAAGCCTAAAAGATTTTGTTGTCCGTCTACAACACCAGGTGATAAAGGCAAGGGCAAAAGGCGTACCAACCGTTGATATGATCATTTCAATTGCATGTTTTACAATTTCAAATATTTGAATATGAGGATTTAGCGTTAATTTAATCTTTTATTATTATAATACTTATCGCTATTTTTAAATTCACGATTGTACAATGTCATGTTATGCATTTTTTCTTCTTATGTTGATTTTTTATTGCATAATCTCAAATAATTATAAAATCTTTATTTCAAGTGAAACTTAATAGACAACTACTTGAAATGCCCAAAAAAATAACTGCTTACATATTATTCAATCGACTTAACGCTATATAGTTACTTATATTATAATAGAATATTTAATTAACTATTTAAATTTACCAAATATAAGTATTGAACATTAGATATTAATTCCGTGGATGTTTTTAGGGTTTTAGGGTTTAGGTTTTAGAAATGCATTCTTCTTTAGGGTTTAGGGTTTAGGGTTTAGGGTTCCTTCTTTAAGGTTACATTATCAAGGAAATTCTACGCTGTGTATAGTCTAGGGTTTAGGGTTCAGGGTTCAGGGTTTAGGGTTCAGGCTTTTAGGGTTTAGGTTTCAGAAATGCATTCTTTTTTAGGGTTTGGGGTTTGGGGTTTAGGTTTCAGAAAATATTTATTTGTTAAAATTTATCATTTGTTTGTCATTTGTTTTGTCATTTAATTTGTTTTAACAAATGATGAAACGTGCATCATATATAAAAGAAAATGTAGTGAAATAGAAAATTTTAGTTTGCGTATATAGTAACTTTAGTTGTAAATAGTATTAGGTATTATAATCGGTTATAATCAGGTATTATGATTAAAATAACAAATAAAGGTGATTACCAATATAAAGAACTTACATTAATTTTTAAAAAACTTCTTGCCATTTCTTCTTGTCTTTCTTGCATATTAAATCAAATATTTGAATCATACAATTTGTTTATCTTACATTTATTTTTTCATCTTACATTTATGTTTATCTTACAGTGATTTTTTATTGCATAATTTCAAATAATTATAAAATCTTATTTAATTAAAACTTAATAGACAACTACTTCAAATGCCAAAAAAATAAATGCTTACATATTATTCAATCGATGACTTAACGATATATAGTTACTTATAATATAATAGAATATTTAATTAATTATTTTAATTTACCAAATATAAGTATTGAACATTAAATAATGAATAAATTTTTAAACGGCCTTTTATTATAATTTTAATATACATAATATTTTTCATCCATGCATAATTTAATTTTTTGAGTTGCCAATATACTTCTTTATGCATCTCCGCATCTGCTTTGCTTCTGCTTATTGCGCGCAGGAAAGTGAACTTTTCACCATAGAAATGTAATCGATGTTTAATTTTACCTCTACTTTAATTCCGGATTGAAGAATATTGTCAGAAATGCATTCTTCTGCCGCATTTTTTTTTTGTAAAACAAGCCGGCAGCCAGCTTTTCACACAGGTAGAAGCCAAATGCATGGCTAATCTAACCACTTCTTCTTCATAAAGCGCTATAGCTTTGAAGGTCGTTTCATAGCTTGCCAAATGTTCTAGTGCTCTAACAGCTTGCCAAAGGTCTGAATTGCATTGAAGCCTGCCGAATATTTTTTAATATTAATTATGCAATTCAGTTGAGCCACTTTGTCTGAATTGCATTGAGGCCCTTCGAAATTTTTTTTTTACTATTTGACTGGCTGCGGCAGAGAGGCACTCTCTGCCCGGCAGCCAACTTTTTCTGACTTTGTCAGGTGCCGCCGGCAGAGAGTGCCCGGCACCCATTGTCTTTAAAACAAAAAAAAAATTTTTTTTGGCGTCAGGTGTCGGGCTGTGTCAGCCCGGCACCCATATATTTATACCGGACTACTGTCAGACCCGCAAGTGTCTGAAGGGTTTTTTTTTCATCAATATTCGGATCAATTAGCCGGTATAGACTTGCTAAATCCTAATTTCAAAAACTCGATTGATACCCTTTCGTGTATGCACATAACTTGATAAACATGTAAAATTTCATAAAAAATATAAACACAAACTTACTTACAAGTCATCAAAATGTGTTCGAGGAAAATAGTAAAACAATCTATCAAAACCCTCTATTTCCAAAACCAAGTTACATCCTGGAAAATCCTTTTTGTTTAATCAAAACATCAAAAACATCTTCCAAACCTGTCACAACCATCACCACGGCGGCGAGGAGATAGTGGCTGCAAGGAGACGGTCACAGCCATGAAAACCGTTTAAAATCTCACCCTACATTCATTCATGTAACTTCATGCTAAACATGCATAAATTGTTCTTATGACAAGATCATCGAATTCTAGGGTTTTCTATCAATAATCTTCATGTAAACAGCTTAGAACCATAGATTTTTTAATCTTGTTTAGATGGTTCTTTTCCCTCTTTTCTCCTCCCTCATCAGCTGAACACCCTTCATGGCTGTCGTACCCTCTCTCCTTGTGTTGCACTAATTTTCAAAAGACATAAGTGTTAGCATTTGGACTTAGCAAAGTTTGGACTCAATGCTTTGTTAAGCTTCTCTGTTTTTTTTGTCAAAATCATAAAATAAGATTTAGGTTAAGGAAATGACTTAGGAGTGCGTTTAATAAAATTGAAATCTGAAGTCTAAAACTTATTGTTAAGTACTAAATCTAATATATTTGAATGTATTATCACATTAAATAATAAGTGAATAACTTATTAATTACTTATTTTTGTAATAAGTTTTGTCTAAAAAATTCAGTACCACTTAATTAATTTATATGCTCCATTTTTTATTATCAAATGGATATCAAACAGGGCCTCAGACCAGTTCATGAATTCTCAGCAGACAAGAAACTTGAGCAAACAATTCCATCCTGTGATTCAAATTACTGCCACCAAACTCCCAGTAGGAAGTAACAATTCCCTACTTCTGCCACGTACATGAAAACTAACCTTGAAGTGATCTGATAGTCAACTAGATTTATAACTGATTTTTCACTCTTGAAGTATGAAAGACACGTCCACCATTTGTTTCGTTGACATTTCTTGTTTTTCTTTTTCTTTTTTCATCTTCCTGCTGGCATCAATCCAAATTGAGCATAGGATACTATCCTTTTGAAAACAACAAAATGAAGCCACAAATTTCATTTACATTTAATTATATGGAATTCATTTACATTTGATTTCATGGAAAATCGAACTTTCACAAAAGATGGAATTTGAAATTCCGCGACACTTCATTTGAAACAGCAACATGTTAAATTCAAATTAGTCTAAAGTATATAAACAAACCACCAAACACTCATCTCAATCTCAAAGCAAGTGAAAAAACAAAAGCTGAACTACAATCTTTTCAAATTTTTTTTAAGTTTTAGCATGTTGAAGAATTTCCACCACCAGAAGTTCCACAGTCCAGTATCCTTTATCCTCAAAACTTCATCTATGGTTTTCCCCTGTCGACCGAGTTGTCTACAGCTCTACTTAATCTCTTCAGCCAATCATAATCAACTGGATATGGTGTTCCACAAAGGCTGTCTACATAATCAGCAAATGCTTTCAAGAGGGCTGAAACCTCACCTAGCTGCTGAATTAGACGCTTAGCCCAGCATCTTTGCTCCATTGTAATGCTGATTCAATAGAATCTTGCTGCTGCATGTTTCCTCCACAAATAAAATAAATAAGGTAAATAAGACTCTCTGCATCAGATGACGGACAAAGCTTTGCGTTCTGTAGTGCATGTGCAGATGAAAACTGTAAATTTATTGCTGGACTGTCTCTGTCCTCCAAAATTGCTCGACCCCAGGAGACATACAGGCAACTGCCTCTTGTGCTATCTGACACAGATTATGTTTTCAGGACAGATATCACCATGCTGGATGTTGGCCATTTTTGCACTCCTCAAGGCTGCAAGACAGTCTCGACAACAACGGGTTGCTTCTTCAGCTGAAAATGGACCATGATGAGCTAAAATAGATGAAAGCGTTTCTCCTACTGGATAAGTTACAAGTATTGGGGTTCCACACCAAGGATGATCACAGCATCCCTTAGGGCTCTGCTTCTCACAAGGACCAGGATGCAGAATTTTGCCCGAGGCAATTATTTCAGGCAAAGACTTGCTTGTGATACCCTGTTCTTTTAGGATATTCAGAACTTTAGTTTGTCTCTGGACTTGATACCACAAGCTCATGTCCTCCCATGATGGTTCCAGACGAGATGTATGAGCACCAATGTGTAGCATTAGTAATTCCGTGGGATGGGCCAAAGCCACAGCAGTGTAGGAGCAGCAGTTTCCTTCAAGCAGACATTCATGTATTTGGAAACTTCTCTGTTCCAGGAGGTGGTCTTCAACAACTAATATTTCATCCTGGTTAAACTTCAAACGGGATCCTTGCTTGCTGCTGGGGTTTGGGTTGTTGTGGTATTCAACAATTTCCCCATGATCATGTCTAGTAGCTTGATAAGGGATCAGTGCATTTTCATTCTCAATGAGGCGGCATTCAACTCTGCGCTTCTGAAGACGAAGGCTGTGATCAGCTGCAAGTGAGGCTATTGATTTTCTCGGCGGTCCAATCCATTGAGCAATACAATTAAAGGTTGCCAAAAGCAGCTGTAGAGTCCCCATGTCTCGCCAATTTACATTTCCTAGCTTGTTCCATATTTGCTCCACAGGGGAAAAGCTAACTTCAGCGTGAAACTTTATCCATTCTGCCACGGATTGGTATGGATTGTTTAAGTCAACTTCAAGATTTCCAAGGTCACCACCCAATTTTACCACACTGGCAAATTTAGAGTCCAGTACTAAAACATAAACAGAGTAACTGCTAACAGCGTTACTTCTACTCAAACTACGAGCAAGAAGTATGTGGATAGCATAGAATAGTGCTTCACAGGCAACAGTAGAAGACAAACCAAATTCATCTCCCACTCCACTGTCATGTTTGAATAAAGAAAACACGACCACCTCATCCCAGCGAACATGTACATTCCCACTAATTTTTGACATCAGAGCTGCACCAGAGAGCTCCTTTAGCCTCCCCCTTGATATTGCTTTCTCAACGGAATAGAACTTGGATCCAGGATAGCGAGGAAAAGATACAAAAAAGGGCAAGGGCTTTTTTGTGCCAAAAGGTATGCCATAATCCATCTGCCACTGTATGTAGAAAATCTTCAAGAGCCAGAAGTTCATCCTCTATATGATCTTCAGAAATATGTGGCGAGCAAGGCATGCGGAATAGCTGTTGAAATAGCACCCCCTCCAATGCAAAATCGAGGGTACAGAGCTCATCAATTTGAAAGGGAGTGTTAGAATACTGCTCATGGTTGTAACTATCAGTATGTAAGTTTTCCAGGACCCAGTCTTCAACACATTGTGTAAATAAGTTGAGGTCAACAAGTTTTGCTGCATAATCTTTGAGCACTTTATAAACCCTTTTTGAAGTTGGAATGAACTTGCTTGAAGAGCTGGATTTAGTAGGTAAGGATGCAGCTGCAATCATCAAATATTTACAATCAGCACTTGCAATAATTGTCTAAAAACTAAATAACACTATCTGCAGAAAAAGGAAAACATCAGCAGTCGATGAGAGAGAACTTCGAGCACGCCTAAGGTCACTATTAGTAGTAGATGAGAGAGAACAAAATTACATGACTTTATGCTTTTTTACTCAATTATCCTTTTTTAATAACATTTGTCATGTGCAAAGGGGCACCAAGGTTTTAAATATATGTCATATTTGGAATAGGAAAAGTAACCTTGTATACAAAATAAATTAGTTTTGATCATGATTTCCCTTTAATCAACATCCTCTGTGCTATCCTACCTGTTATAAATTCCAATTATAAAAGTTCCTGAGATCAATTAACAATATCACAAAGACAAATTATTACAGATATCTGAGTAAATAAAATCAGAAGAAGAAGTGACGGGAGTTATAACCAGCATTATTTTCTCCTTATCCCAAAGCATAAATGGTAGTACAATGTGTATTGGAGAATTGATGTTGATTTTCATGTCTGGTATCAAGAAAAAATACAATGAATAGTTGAACCAAAAAACCTTCAACTATAAGGTATCAGTGGAACAAGGACAACTTTATCAGAAGGTTATCTGCATAAGTTCAGCAAAGGTAAAATTGGAGAAGAAAATACAGGAAAGATCAGCTTCCATTTATGAAAAACTTTTACGTTCTACACAGTTTTCTGGCAAAACAGGAAACACAATAAGAAAATACTTGCTTGTAAACACTCAGATAACAAGTAGAAGCAGGTTTAGTCTAGAATCTATCCATTTTGTATGCAGAACTAATTTCGACTGAGCACTTTCAACCTTATTGGAAGCCACCTGGAGCAAAGACAGGCCACAAAATTGTGCAGTAGTAGGAATAACATAAACACTAGCGAACACAATGGTTAGAAAAGAACAGTCATAGACATAGTGTACTGACATGAAGGGTAAAAGGTAGTCTATTATCTACATTGCAAGACATAAGGAGTGCCTAAATAATATGCTTCTGATGTAATGTTGTTTCATTTCATTCTGTTACACCAACAATACAGGATTTATGACCTTCCAAAATATGTAAAATTGGTCTCCAAACAATTTAAGTAAGGAATCACTGGGTACCTTTTTGCTCATTGATTATCTTTTTCTTTCCCTAACAAAGAGACATGAAGTCTTTTTCATTTGTTGCATCATGAGAACCAATCAGTGCCTTTAATTTGATCAGTTAAATTTTATGTTTGACCTTTTCTTTCTCAATCAGAGAATGGTGACCACTCTGCATTTACCAGACATATAAAATCATGAAAAAGATCTAATAGTAGATTATTATTTTTTTTTTTTTTAACTTGTTAATAAAATCATTCAACAAGCACTTCTTAACTTTCCCCTTCTTTGTCAACCTTCAGACTATCCTTCCCCTGTTTTTTTCCCCCAAAATGTTTACTTTTTAGTTTCTAAAATATATCCCCTGCTTGATCATGTCTAAACATTTAGTTGCTGTTTCCGACTTATTTGTCAACCTTCAGAATATCCTTTCCCCAATTTTTTTTCAAAATGTTTACTTTTTAGTTTCTAAAATATATTCACCTGCTTGATCATATCTAAACAGTTAGTTGCTGTTTTTGCCTACTTTGGGAACAATATTGGACTAAGTTCCACATATCCAAAAGTCACATGCATTATGCAAAAATTTTTCTTGATGAGTATAGGTTAGCTGTTAGGGCATCCTAGACATGGTGTCATCAATCTCAAGACTGATCCACAGAACGAGTATACTTTCATCAATCTGCAAAAACTAATTTGGAAATTCTTGACAAGCCTATCTGAGTAATTTCCAATTCAACTTGTTGATGACCAAGAAAAGTCTTTATCCTCCTTGAAGTCCTTAGCCTTGAGGCTTAAGGCATCTGTATCGTACTAGCAAATGTACTAGCAAACAACCCTTCTTTCCAATTCAGAAAATAACAATGAGATATAATTTTTTTTAACAATAGATTGTGGCAAAGTGAAACTGGTCTTGGTGGTATTAGTTTGTTGAAAACTGCTTGAAACAAGATCACAAAGCAAACTTGCCCAAGCTCATGACGACTTTCATTAGGAGCCAAAGCTGTACAGTATGTGAGGTTATACATACCTCTATTAACTTGTTGAGCAGAAAATTAATTGAGCATGAAATTGATATGTTTGTCATATTTTGATTGCAAAATAAGATAGCAGTAAGAAAAATGCGAGTAAATCATAAGATACAACATAAAATAAAAGTTACCAACTTTCACCTCTTTCAAGAAAGTAACAGAACTGGTATGGTGGAGTCCAGTAAAAAGAAAGATAGAGGAACACCCTTTTAATTTCAAAAATAAAACAGAAAACAAACAGTTTTATTGAAGAACTGAGAAAAGTCAACCACAAGCCCAGGAAGGGATTCAAGAAGGATTTCTGTACCAATATGACTTAATAATCAAATAATGGAGGTATATAAATATACTAACCTTTTAAAACCAGAGCTTATAATGACTTAGTGAAACTCAAGATGTTGCATATATAAATATTCTTTTATAATTTGGATTACAATGGCCACAAACCTTTTATTCTTGCACTGGCATCAGGTGATATAACTGTTCAACTTCAAAATGTCCAACACTTACCGAGGTGTAATAAGTTTGAACAGTTTGAACTTGCTAGGATATTGGAGGCACTTGGAATGTTTGGGGATGCAGAGAACCTTACAAATTAAGTTGGACAAGTTGTCTCATTTCAAGAAATTTAAACTACTTTAAGTGATTGTATAATTTTCTCACAATTCAGGGGTAATAATTTCCTAGCCTTAACCAAAATCAGCTTGCAAGAGTTTACTAATATAATTCCTTTATTGTACTGATGTTTCTGTGCTTCTCCCAGTTTCCTGCATATGCACTAATGAAGTAAAGCCAAGTATATACAAATATAGCAAAGGTAAAAGTGCTAAGTGAAGGCATTTTTCATTAACCAAGCATAGCAAACTGCATGTACCATTTAAACAATAGAATCTACCAAAGAAATATATTCCGCTCATGAATGAATCCTACTTAACATAAAAAAAGAGCCGAAAAAGCAAACCAGATCTAGGCCTCCTGAAACTTCCATCCAGACTTCGTCCGAGGATGAATCCCATCATTTATCTGGTTTTCTGGGAGGATAAACAGAACATTATGTGAATAGTCTAAAACTGCAGCTTACATGGACTAATAAGAAAACAACAACCAGGGAAAGAATAACAGCACAACAATATCCTCAGAGTTTCAGCATTTAGAGACATAAGAAAGAATGCCAAATGAAAGTCTTAGTCCAATTGTGCCTACTGGCCCTTCAGGAAAAAAGTTCATAAAGAAAGAAACAAAATCTCTAGCTGGAGCAGTACAGCTGATACAGAAGGATAGATTTATGACAGAATAATCTATATTTTATAACTCTAAACGCCATGGAAAACTGCCATCTACTAAAGGAAGAGAGCTTCTATGTGGCACACCAACTCCCAATCAATCTCCAAAGGTTGGCCCTCCTTGTTGCAGGGAGTGATTGAGAAAGGTTTAAACATATTGAGTACCTTAAATATTTTCCAAACAACAAGCCTGTGCAATTATCTTTTTTTCCCGAATTTTAATTCAAAGATTTGCGGCAATAAGAACTCAAGACCCAAGACAAGACCCAAAAAAAATTTGATACAACATAAAAAGTGGGAAAGGGCATGATTGAAGAAATATTATGTTAATCAAATTGTTAGGGAGGCATCATTAAGTTTTTCCACTTCCCCTACTTGAGATTTACGCAATCTTTATTCTCCAACGTGAGAAACTTTGACAACACGAACCACAACCGGCCTTTAATCTAGATTGCCAATGAATAGAGTCAGTCTTTCATGTTACTAATTTAACTAGTTGCAATACTTGAATTCAAAATGGAGTTTAAAATCCCTGCTCCAGTCAAGTTTGGTTCCATTTACTATCAAAGCTTTATTTAATCAAATGATATAAGCATGATGATCTACTTGTTTTTGCTTTATTTTTGCTCCCAGATATCAATTATCAAGAAAACTGGATAGAATAATCCTACTTACAATCATGAGTTAAAGAATTTGATCCGAACTGTTAGGCAAAAAACTTGGAGATGCAGAATCCTTTTTGAGTAATTAAAATGGAAGAATAAACAATGAAAACTTCCACTTTTTTCCATAGACATATAACTAAAACATCTCGTGGAATATTAGGACTTGAATCTTTCTAATATTAATTGGTCATAGTACCCTTAGAAAACAAATTTAGGAAACAGTTGACTCTTCAAAGTCTGAAAGAAAAGGAGTTTTTATGCATAAAGGTAATAAAATCACTGCCTTCATTACTAGGCCTTTAAACCAAAAATAGAGTTAAAATCCCTTCTCTACTTAACTTTGGTTCCACATCTAGTTAATATCATAGCCTTATTTGATTAAATGACATAAGCATGATGATTTACTTTTTTTTTTCCTTTATTTTTTGCTCCCTGATATAAGTTATTTAAGGTAACGATAGGAAAATCCCATTTATAATCATGAGTTAAAAATCAATCCAAATTGTATAGTTTAAAAAAATACTTGGAAATGTAGAAACGTTTTTGAGTAAAATCCCATTTATAATCATGAGTCAAAAATTCAATCCAAATTGTAGTTTAAAAAAATACTTGGAGATGTAGAAACGTTTTTGAGTAAATAACTTGGAGGAAAACAAAAAAAACTGCAACATCCACTTTCTTTCACAGGCATATTAGTTAACAAATTTGGGAAATAACTGACACAACAAAGATTGATAGACGAGTTTTTATGCAGAAAATAACAAAACCGCTGCCTTTAATACTCGGACTTTAACTCTCCTACAATCACTAGAAAATTTTATAACTTGTGTGCTTTGCTAAAAAGCAAAATTAGAAAAATTTTTGGTGTTATTGGCAATTGCTAACAAGTGAATAGAGAATTTGACTTGTCTTTTTAGTGATTATAGATAAAACAAGGCACACTAATTATGACGTTAACTACATCATTAGTAGTCAATGTCAGCAGCAATGACAAGGACAAGAATTCCCTTTTCTGTTTTCCTTTCACCACTACAATCTGGCTTTTACCAGACTAAAGTACAACATAAGAAGCTTCAAGCACCACTTTCAAGCACATTATCTACTCGACCCAAAGGTTAGATACTCCAATTTCTCTTGAAATAGCATTTTGAATCTCGCATCTTATCTTTCCTTCCTATGACAATTTTTTTTTTTTTTTTTTTTAAGAAAACTGTTCTAACAAAAACCATTGTTTGGATACAAACTAAAAGGGATTCTCGAATCCTAGTTAAACACAGATAAGTAAACAATGTCTGCAAGAACTTAAAAAATCCCAATAAGCAATAATGTGTGTGAAAGTATATGTCTTGATTTCTTGGAGCTTTTGAGGGGGCATTGGGGAACAAGAACTGACCTAGTCTCATCTCAAGGTCCTCTGCAATGGAGATTCCAAGCAAGAAAATGCAGCAAGCTATGACGAACTCAGCTTATAACGAAAAACAAAAAATCCTTTGTTGTAATACTTGTGTGACCATGTTCTTGAAACTATCGAAACTCAAATGCTAGGATTCCAAGCATTAGCACAATGTGGCAAATATCGAGCTCATGAGAGAGAGAAAAAAGAGAGATCTCAGAAAATGAGTCAAAATGCTATTCTCAGTTGTAGCAATTTGGTCGCAAAGAAAAAGACATGGGCGGAGAAGAGTGTTTGTGAAGGTGGAAACTGAGAGTGGAGGAGTGCATTGGGAAGAATGATGATGTTGATGGTGCTTCTGCCTCCCACGGGCTCTCTTTTCTTGGGCACTGCTGTCTGTTAATTTTTTATATGTGGTGATTGTTTGTTTGCTTTTGTTTGTCATGCTTGTTCGTTCTTTGTCTCTTATTTGTTCTTGAATTCAACATTAATTTAATGTTTTGGACTTCTTTGATGTCCTCCATTAGAATCCAGGGGAAAAAACATGCTAAGTAAAAGAGAAAATTCTATATAAATTCATACTTGAAAAACAAAATTATATTATTCCGGATGGATGCATGATATATAAACAAAATTTTATTGATATATTTAATACAAGAAGAATAATTGTAGAATAATTGAGATTATCTTCTATAGAAATCATGTTGATAAAGAGTCTTTCAGGTTAGTCAAATAAGTTGGTATTTATTGCTTTTTTTTTCCACTGTGTTACTATTTGTGTTAATTTACATCCATGTTAATTTACTACTTCAAATATATATAGAAATTAATTTTCTCAAGTCATTACCTTATTGATTTTTCAAAACACGATAGCACAGGAAAAAGTGAAATGGTAGCTGTGTGACATTATTACGTAATTGTTATTTGTTTGATAAATAAAAAAATAAACTTCTTGCGAAAAAAATTCTATTTAAAAAATAGTCCAACAATATTGTTAATTTTTTTATTTTTTCCAACTGTAAAAAATCTAGACTGATCGAATATTATCCATTGTTTCCCTTCCATTTTTTCAGTGCATCTCTATCATGCCCTAAATCTTTACTAAAAAAATAAAAACTAAAAACTGAGTTTAAAATGATTTTTGAGTTTTTCAAAATTAGAATAAGGAATATAAAGGAAAGAAAAATGAGAGAGGGCCTAAAATGGGACTAAGCAGTGCAATAGGTTTGGGCCCACTAAAAATCTAGAGAATAGGATTTTTGAAAAAAAAAATAGGAACCATTGTTTGATATTGAGTTTTGTTGTATCGAATCATCTATAAAGAAAAAAAAATATTTTTGATTTTTCATAATACAAAATTAAAACCCTTTAACTAGACAATTCTAGGTCTTTTGAAATCAAAGAAATGAATTTGGGAGGTACCTTTATGAGGGAGGAATGTTGAAATTGTATCCTTAAATACATCTCTAGGTCCTACAAAATCGTGCAACCTCTCTATATCCTGCAAAACCAATTGCAAATTGAATCTCGTTCTTCCAATTTTAAGAATAATAATATGAGTTAATTCAAGCTAAATACAACTAACATGCACTTAATTAACATAGCATCATCTAAATACATAAAAACATGTATGATGCATAAAAATAATATGAAAAATAATCAATTCTCATATTTGAATTTGAAAAATCAAGAAATTACACACTCTTAACTCTCATCACATTATGCAATAGGAACATAAAATAGAAAAAGTAAATAAAAAACATTACATGAACAAAATTCTATAAGCCTATATCTTATAAGGGTTACATAAAAGAGAAAAACAAAGCTAATTGGAAATTTGGAACATAACTGTACAAAATAATAGACATTTTTTCTTTGGTGTGTGAAAGAACAAATTGCGTTAATAAAACTCAAGAGTCAGATACAATACGACTCAGCTGTAGGCCCTTAGAGTCAATTTCCAATATATTACAGACGGTACCGGGGTGCAGAATTGAACAAAACAAAAGGTTCTACTGTATTAGAGTCAACTCTGATCTTAGCAATGCTATCTACAAGTGTGTTTGGATTGTAAGTTATTTGAAATATTTTTACTGTAGCACTTTTTGTGATGTGATGTATGTGAGATAAAAAGGTAATTGAGAAGATAAAAAGGTATATTGAAAATTGTAATGGTGATGTCAGCAAATATATTTGGCCAAATAATTGGCTGTCCAAACAATTGGGGATGAACATGATTTGGGATTCCCACGTGAGTTCAGTAAAAGCAGGTTGATTAATAGAAGCATAGCGGGCCCAACCTACATTAGTCAAATGCTGCGTGACCTCATCCCTCAGGTTTAGCAAATCAAGCGTAGGGCCATGGATGTATTTACAAGGAATTATCTTCCTTGTACACGCCGAAGCATGCCGCTCCTTGTCGGCAGCCCGGGTGAAGGTCAAATTACCGCCAAAATGGGCCGGAGAGGAGATATGAACCTCCCTATTCCGTCCAAGGCGGGTACGGGGCCCTCCAGGCCCAGTCGATGGGGCAGGTCCCTCTAAGGGGACCGTAGGCTGAGGAGATGAAGTGGAAGGCTTGTTCTTGCCTTTGGTTTTCGGTTTAGTCATTGGGGATTGGAAAAGAGGGCAAAGTCAAGGTGAAGTTGGGTAAAATGGAGCGGTGGTTAATCAAC